AACTAATACACTATCAGAGTTTTATATATTTATACTTCTCATTCAACCACAGTTAAATTCACTCTATCTAGGAGGCTCAGTTTATATGGATAGTTTTTATTTTTTACAATAACAAGCTGCAATGAAAACAAGCAGAAAATGAAATAAAAGTAACAACTTTCTGCTTCTTGTCTTTTGAAAAATGTAAGGAGTAAAAGTAAAAAGTAGGCTGAAAAATAATTACTCAAGTGAAGTACAGATACACAAAAATTCTACTTCAGTACAGTAACAAAGTATTTGTACTTACCGTACTTTACAACTCATAATAATAATAATAGTAATATTAATAATAATAATAATATTTTTAACTTTATTCATTTCATTCAAAAAAAACAAAACATATTTACTTACAACAAAACCACACAAATCAAATAAAACTAGACATGGGTTTTTACGATGTAAAAACAAGTGTGCATTGCCATGTAGCATGTCATTGCAGCATGGCTTTGCCTGCAACATTGGACTTGCAGAATGAACTTTGACCAAGTTCAAATGTGTTTTCTAAACCAGCTTATACCTGTCACGTCAGCAGGTGTTTGTAATTAAGGTAATTGAGTAACAATATGACGTTTGAAGAGATTTTTTGTTAAAGTTACATTAGCTGGGTTTTGAAACCTGATCTCCCACATGAAAGCCCGTGACATAGACCATTAGACTGTTGGAGCTGTGGCAGGGTGTGGTGCCAGGGGTTGGTTTCTATGTGTGCAGAAAGAGGCCACATTGCCAAAACAATTATTGACACTAAACTGCATAATATTACAACAATAGAGCAATATTAAGATAATGATAAAGTAAAACATCAAAATACAATCATATTAGTATTGTAAACACTGAACTATTGAGATTAAATATAAAAAACTATGGTGCAGTACCAAGTTGAGTACAGCTGGGGGCAGTATTGGAACATTACAAGGCCCCATTGACTCTCATTTTATGAATTTGGAATAAAGTTTCAACATTAATATTTCAAAAACTACAAGATGCACAGGTACCAAAAGGCATAGCAATCATTTGGCACAGGACCTTTACAGATAGAAATTACAATGGCAGCTGTAGGACAATGTAGGCAGGAGCATTGGACTTTCAGAATGAACTTTGACCAAGTTCAAACATGTTTTCTATACCAGCTTGTGCCTGTCACGTCAGCAGGTGTTTGTAATTAAGGTAATTGTGTGACAATATGAAGTTTGAAGAGATTTTTGTTAAAGTTGCAGTAGCTGGGTTTGAACTCTAATCTCCCACATGAAAGCCCACAGTGCTCATCATGAGACTAGGAGATGTGGCAGAGGACAATCCCAGGGATTGGATTGTATGTATACAGAAAAAGTTTACCTTGCCAATGCAATTATTGAC